CAGATGAATCCCACTGTCACAACCAATACAGTGTCACTTGATCCTGACCAGGGCTAATCAGTATGCTCCTCACCTTCCCCACCACACCATGGACCCCGCTCCTAACATTGTCCAGGTCCTGTTCTGCAGATGCTTCCCAAACACAGCATCCCACTCCTATGACAACCACAGGACCCTTTAGTTCTTTTGTCTATGCTGGACTCAAAATAGCCACAAAGACCGGTTTTGACTTTTTTTTTTTTTTTTTTTGGATGTTTTTCTGATCCAAATAACTAGTTCTAGGCATTGAACTGGTGAGGTATCACAAATCTGGAATCCACGCTGGTTTTACTTACGAAGGAAAATAGTCTGCTTAGTTGAGACCTTAATTAAACACATGAACACATTTTACCAGTTTCTGGTCACTGGTATGTAACTCTTATGATGAAGGATCGGGTTAACGGTTCCACGCTCAGCACTACCAAGCAGTACCCACCTAAACCTTAGTGTGGAGGCCCAAAAATGTGAGCCTATTTCCACCTTGTCTGAAGGTCAGAGAGTTTCAGCTTGCTCAAAGTTGTAAACAACAAGTGTGTCTACACACCTTGACCTGGGGTGTGATTCCTTGGTGTTTTGGACAATAAGATGGCCCACACAGGTAGATCCATTCCACCTTGACCAAAGATCAGAGAATTCTAGCATACTTCTGCTCCTTCTTTGGAGTTAGGAGGCTTGACCTACGGAGTGGCTGCCTTCAGGATGCTTGGTCTAGGGTGGGTTCACTGCCTAAACAACAGAATGCTTTTCTCATGAGTTAATGACTTGATGTCTCAAAGTATTGAAACAAGTAACTGCTCTAGTTGTCCTTTGTATCATGTTAAAGCGGTCTTTTGCCTTCTCTTCCCTGTTGTACTGGGGTATAAAAGTGTAAGGAAAATCAACCATGGGCGATTTCAGCATTCACTGGAACTCCCTTCCATAACTATCCTATGCTCTTGCCTTATTATTTTCACTGGTGTCTTTGGCCTCTTATTTTTCTAATCCTCATGCCCCTACCCTGGTAAGTGGTATGCTTGTCAAAGCTGGTCTCGGACACCTCAGTTAGGCCTTGCTGCTTTCTTCATAAAGTGTTAAGGTGACACTTTATGGCAGGTGGAGGAGCTGGACTCGGGCTCTCCAGAGGTAATCCATGGCCCCCGAGACCACCTGAGTCCAGACAAGGGTTGCTGTGGTCACTGTAGGTCAGCCTTCCGAAGTGACTTTGTCTAACCAGCTGCTCAAGACCACGAAAGACCTTTGTTTAACTAAGTAAATGTATTCTGGACAGAAGCGCAGGAAGAAAACACACGTTTGGGTTCATCCCAGGGGAAGAGTGCTTGCCTAGTGTGCACGAAGCCCTGGGACGCAACCCAAACAGGACCAACAAACAAATATCCTATTCGAACAACAAAACTGCTTTCCGAGTGAGAACAGACCATGATGACGAAAAGGAATGTGGTAAAGGTTTGCCAGGAAAGGTCAGGAAATAACGTAATTACAGCGGCTGCTCTACCAAGAGATTTTCATACTTTCTCTAGGCATACGTGTGAGTGTGAACACGTGCTTACACACACACACAGCTTATGGATTTTAAATTTTTAGGTTTTCTCTTTGACCTTGAAAACCAAGTAGCTCAAGTTGCCCAGAGATTAAAGCTTCAAACCTCAAGGTTATGGGTAGGGTTGCAACACGAGTTAGGATTAAATGTTGAGTTCACGGTGCTCGACTGGTCCCAGTCTAGGGAAGTTGTGAGCATAATACACCTGTTTAGATGGTGTTGCACAACAGTCTCAGCCTGAACTGTGAGAAGATATGGCGAGTCCATCTACTTCTGTGTTGATCAGGAAAGGACTAGCAGGAACATTAGGTCTCAAATGGAGTGTCCTGCACAGGGAGGGCAGACGAGAAGGAGGACCAGGTCTCACTCAGAACGCATCCATAGGCTTTCAAGGTAAGTCTCAAAACTGTCGCCACCTATTTCTGTGCCTTGTCCTACTTCCGTTTGTGTCACCAGTTGGAGTCACCCAGTGGCAGTCAACATAAAGGGACAAAGAAGGAATAGCAGGCTTAACCCTCAGGTCCTCGTGTCACGGCGTCTTATGGTTGGGAGCAACTTCTGTGTTTGTTTTCTCAGTCCCTACAGAGCACCCTGTGTAACTCAACAGGTGCTTTTCAAGTCAGCTGCTTTGGACGTGAAAGTGGCAGCCCTGAGTGGGGTCCGAGCTATAGTTATTTCTGTGCAATAAACAAAGCTATTAGCAACCGGATCTGAGATAGCTGGTGACCTTGTACAACTGACAGGCACGTCAGGCACATCCTTCAGGGGACCTCACTGAAGTCACTGCAGTGGCTTCCTCAGCTTGGACATATTTGGTCTAGGGAATGCAAGGAATTTGCTGGCTGAGCAAGTTCATCTGTTCTGTTTTGTAACAGGCTCCTCTCCATTACCGCTTCTAAAAAAAGAAAAAAAGAAAATCCCCGGCAGGCTCCATTTCAGAAGTAGTACTATGGTCAATGGGACAGTTTTAGTCTGGAAGAATTTTCTCAAACTAAATAAATAAAAAAGCACCATGACCTCAAGGACACTGAATCTGGTTCTGGCTCTCAAAGAGCTCCACTTCCCTCCCTACTAAAAACCTGTAGCAAGGCCTAGAATGACATCTGTCTGCCTGTCCTGCAGACAGACGGCTGACGGGAGGGAGCAGAGCTACAGGCTCAACAGTCACTCTACAGTTATTCCCGTTTATTGATGGTTAAACCGTGCGCCACAGAAACTGCACATCGTGGGCACTGGGCACGCAGAAGCAATGGGCGGCACTCCAGGACATCACAGCAGCTCTAACGCTGTGCAGTGTTTGGCACTGTCTTCTCCCGGGAAGCCATTTAATCGTCACTAGCTGTGCACTGATTTCAATTTGATAAAATATCTTTAAGCATTAAGTAATGGAATTTGAGAAAAATGCATAAATCAAGGTCAGGCTGAGTTAAAACTCGCACTAATACAACCAATGTAACTCTTGATTTGTCACTAACTCTCAATACTGTATCTTAATCATTCTTCAGAAAGTAAAAACTGGTTAGTGATGGCATGTTAGAAACCATGTTTTCTCTCATGTTTAATTTGCTCACTTATCTTTAGGAGGAAAACCAATTAGCATCTTAAGGGAATGAGCCCAAAAGTACTTACCAAATTAACCAGGCCGCCAAAGTAGAAAAAGAAAATAGAACCACTGCACCATCTAGTGGCAGAATGTAGCCTTGCAACTAAGCCAACCAATGCAATTCCATTCTACAAACCCTCCCCAGAACTTCTGAGCCTGAAAATAGTCACAAAACTGGCCAAAAGTGGGTCTGGCTGCAACAAATAATGAAACTTACAAACAAGCAGACAGTGTTAAGGGGTGTAAATGAGTCTCAAGTGTTTCTCAATTTCTCTCTGCAAGATCCACCATAGGTCCAGGCATAATTTTATAAATCGATAGAATTAGGCTTAATACCACCAAGGACGTGAGTACCCCTCCAGTAAGTCTGCGCTGTTTTGTCCTGTCTGAGCAGGACTTGTCCTCCACAAGTCTTGGTGAGGGGCTCAAGTGTCTTCCATCTGGATTCTGGCTCTGGTCTTGCCATAAGTATGACATTTATTGCCATGTCTCAATGCTCAGCAGATATAAAATGTACAAAGATAGTACCCATTTAAAAACAATTTGTTTTGTTTTTGGATTTTTTTGAGACAGGTTTTCTCCATAGCTTTTGGTTCCTGTCCTGGAACTAGCTCTTGTAGACCAGACTGGCCTCGAACTCACGGAGATCTGCCTGCCTCTGCCTCCCGAGTGCTGGGATTAATTAAAAACATTTTGGAACCAAGAAAAGAAAGTGAAGTAGTAAACTTTTGGTGCATGTGTGCAAGATTTGCATTTTGTCTAAGGTTTCTGTTTGTTTTGCATCATGGGCAATGTGGAAATGTATTTAATAATTTTGTAATTTTTATAGTAAAATGAGAATGTTTTCTGATACCCCCAAAAGGAAATTTACTCCAATTTGGTAAATTAAGAATTAAATAAAGACCAGTATAAGTGAAAAATGTGTTTACTTGCAAGCATTATACGTTAAGTTAGTTTTTGTCCTGATAGGGTCAGTGATATTCATAGGAAGAGACAGTCTACTCCTTTCTCAAGATGGTGGGCCTGGCACCTCCCTCAGAAATCCCTTTAAACAAACCCATATTCTGCCTAAAATTTGACAGCCCAAATCCTAAGGCTCCTCCACAAGGCCGTGCGTGTGCTGAGGTCAACATCAGGTACTGTCCTCTGAGCTCTCCATTTATCTGCTGAACTTTGTCATGTGGGTTTGGGGGACAAACTCAGGTCACTAGACTTGGTGGGGAGCACACTTACTCAGTGAGCCATCTCACTAGGCTACTTCACTTTTTGAGAGTCTATACTGGACCAGGAGCTGACCAATCAGGGCTGGCTAAGGAGCAAGGCCAGGGATCCTCCTGTCTCGTGTCCTCTAGTGCTTGGGTTACAGGAACATGCCATGGCACCTAGCTTTCCCCATGTGTGCTGGAGTCATGAACACTGACTGCCAGCATCACTGACTGAGCCGTCACCCCAGTCCCGGGAATAATTTTTAGAACAGTGACTCTTAGAAATAAATGTTTATGTGGCCCAGGATTGGTTCAACACAGACTGGCTCTTGGCAAATATAAGCCAGGCCAAATTTGTCTTTCAACTTGTTGCTTACCTTTTCAATACTTTCATGGTCCACAGGTGAAACTGGCCAGAAAAAGCCGACAGAAGATCAAGAGAGGCCATGTTATTGTATTTTTCTATGGCTCTTGTGGTGGCAGAGATTAAACCCAGGATCTTACAATTACAAGACAAGCATTTTAGTTCTGAGCCACATCACTGACCTAGGGAATAGAGTCCACTGTGAGCAAGTCAAGAAGACACAGGCTAATCAGTCAAGAGTCCAGACCTGTATAAAGCTTTTGAAGACAGGTTTATTTATATATAAGTGCATGAAATTGAATACAGAAACTTTATTAAAATACTATATATTACAAATTTTAATCCAATAAATTCTGTGTAATGACACTGAAGTGCTGGAGTCACTTTAACAGATGCTCTGTGTGTCTACAGCGGTTCACCCTGTATATTACAGAGAGGAGAGCCATGTGCGGATCTCAGAGGTTTCCTGGGACCAGAGGCGGGATGGAGTGAGCTGTGCACCTCTCCTTTGCAGCAGTGAATTGAACTGCGGTTGTTTTCACAGGCCAACTTTCAAGAACCAAAATGAACTTGCATATGTTTATTGCTGCCCTTTGAAGAAAATGTGTGGTGAAAAATAATTTAAAATAAGGACCAGCATCTCTGAGGCTAACCCGATGCTTACTGCAATTAAAATACTTAAAATTCACTGCAAAATCTGTGTTCTTCAGGGAGTTATGCTATATACACAATGAGATTTGTACATGACTTGGGAAATAAAAAAATCGCTCATATAAAATTAAAAATCAATAGTATACAATATTTACAGCCTGTTAGGTATTACATATAAACATAGTTTAAATAATCCTTCCAAATGAAACTGTTTTATGTAAACATGCAGTACACATATTCATACAGTGTAGTTTACAGCTGGAGCAGAAGGGAGGATTGTGTTCACACAACGCAGGTACTTCATCACACACACTGTTTGAGCAGCACCCTCCAATGTCTGTTCTTCCTGTCTTTAAGCTTCACAGTACATTTAGTATTTTTATTGTAAAAATAAATCCCTGATGGCAAACATATTTCTAAGGTTACATAAAGTCTGTCTTTGTACTACAATATTTAACTAACACTGTTCACACAGGGATCTCTGCCGTAAAACTCAACTTTAAAATCCCACACTTAATTTGCTTGACAACATTTTTCCCTATTTCATACTTGCTTGGAAAATGAAACAAAACAAAACAAAAACCAGAGGAAAATGCCATGTGGTGAAGGACAGGGAAAGTAGTGATCACCTGTCATACAGTGGCTGGCTGGTTTCTAGGGAACCATATGAAGTTAGCAGCTGGACTGGTCTCGGTGGCTCAATGCTGGTTCTGGAGTCTCATTGTAGGTGGTGCAGGCAAAGCCAGCTCACTGGTACCAAGCCCAGAGCTCCCTTAGTCCACTCTGCACAGGTCTCTTAACTTTCAAGGCACTGAGACATCATTCAGCTTTTATAAACTGTACTGTGGGTCAGCTAAATGATTCATCAGTGGGTTGAGCGTTACTGGAATTTTAAAGTGAGTTTCTTGGTACTGTCTGCTGGGTCAATTAGACTCACTACTTGAACAAAGCCACACTAGCACAGAGCTAAAGCTGCTCCCTCAGCCTGGGACATCTTAAGGCAGGAGCTAATACTGAGGGTAAAACCACAGGTTCTGCCAGGTTATATGGCTAAACTGAGCAAAAGGAGGACTTCTTATTTATCTATCTAAACAGGCAAAGCTCATGACGAAAGGCATGTACTAGGGAGAGAGCCAGATCTTTCCATATTACTCTGTGGAAATTGTGTCCACTATCATAAACACTAAGAAAATCTTTGCAAACAAAAGCTTCTGTTTTTCTTTGCAGGAAAAAAAGCTATTCCATCCCAGCCATATTCAGTAATAAACATAAACATATTGATTTAAAGAGAAGGAGCCAAGCACATGGCACACACCCCTAATCCCAGTACCTGAGAGGCTAAGACACAAGGATCAGAAGTTCAAAACTAGCCTGTGCTACACAGTGGGTGAGACCCTGCCTCAAACACATAAAACTTAAAAGCAAAATTAAGCCTTTTCCCATCTACTGTTCATTTAGGCAAGGCTCTAAAGAAGTTAATTTTTAAAAAGTAATTACCAATATATCCCTAGGAGGAAAAGCACTCTGGTTATGGGGTTCAGACGATCATGCATCAGAGTTCCTCTTTCTAGGTATTTAATGCCATACTTTTCCCCAGTTTACGTTACAGCCCTGAGAATTCCCCAAGAGGGAAGAGCTGAGCCTACAGACGCAGGGGATGGGTACAGGATATCACCTAAAGGAAAACATGAGCATCACACTGTCCTTCCCTCCGTCACCCCCCTCCACACCACCCCAGCCTGTGCGTTCAGCTACTCCCTTTCCACGAGATAACCACCGCATAAAGAAGGGTACCGAAAATTCGCTCTGGGCCAGCACTTCAGCTTCGGTCAAGGAACTGTGCACATCTAAATAATGACATCTGATAACTGCTTTAGAAAGGAGTGAAATTGTCAGAAGAACTGCTAAATAAATCAGTGCGAAAAATCAAGGAAACCATGACATAAGTTCAGCACACGTGCCACACACACAGGTAAAGAATGTGAGAGACAATCTCCTAAATTAAGAAATGATTCTGGATCACAGCTCAGCTTGCTCAGAAAGGTGGATGCTGCCACTATCCTCATGAGGAGTTAGCCAGTGCCTCTCCTTGGTTACTGAAAACATTTCATATATTTAACATTAATTCCTCCCAAACAAATCCCAGCTATGTTCTGACATAGGCAAATTCAGACACCGCTACCCCACCCTGGATCACCTACAGGAGACAGGGATCCACAAGGGAGATGGGCAAGTCCACCATACACAAAGTGCACTACGATTTAAGTGCGTATGTGTGACAGAGCCCACACTCCTGGAGTGAGGGATCAGCAAATCTGTGTCTCACTGCTTGGTAACACAGGGAACTTTATCACAGATGCTTCTGTGTACTGACAATTCCTCCTCTTTGAATCTTCCTGTTACAAATGAGATTATACATTTTAAAAATATTGTATTTTAAAATCAAATATTGTCCTTTATATCCTGAACAGTTTCAAAGGGATGAGAAATCATGGACAATCATCAGGAGACACTAGATGACTGTCACATTTAACCAGAGACTGTAACCCCTCATTTTAAAAGGAAACAGTAATTTACCCAGTTATACTCAACTTGTGTTAACACACTTCCCTGCAATCTAAACCCTCAGAAATTCCCCAGTAATTTTTCTGTGTTCCTCATATCTTACAAACAAGATAAACAGAGATGTTTTCAAGGAGTGTTTTAAAACACTCCTAAAGAATGCTTCCACATGGCAAGAGCACTGTGGTCTGCACACAGTTCAGAAAGTGTCTTTCTTGTCGCTCCCTGCATTATAAAATGGCATAACTTTAAGGTACTGGTATTTTTTTTTAAGGTTAAATGGAAAATAGGTAACAAACAAAACAACAGCCAGTACCAACAGTGACAGGACACAGAAGTCCCAAATGCTCAGGATGACAGATGATAGGCGATCAGGAGGGGTGGGGAGCTAAAACAAGGACAAGGATTTGCATATGGTAAAGAGTCAATGAATATTCTAAATTAACCCAAAGAAGTAACTAGGAAATGACAGTGGAGGAGGAAATGCTGGCCACAGCTACTCCTCCCACATCGCCCAGTGGTGACAGCCCTGCTGTAATCTACTCCTTTATGCCTGGGCACCACCACCACCAACTGTCATATCTGCATTATTCTACCCAGCGGGTATCAATCACATTTCAGAGTGAGACCTGAAACTCAGAGTGGTTAAATGCTGCTCAGACCAGAGTGAACAAAGGCAACAGAGCCTGGATACAGGACTGCACCATCTAGTCCTCTCTTTCTTTCTTTCTTTCTTTCTTTCTTTCTTTCTTTCTTTCTTTCTTTCTTTCTTTCTTTCTTTCTTTTTTCTGAAGCTGAGGACCGAATCCAGGGCCTTGTGCTTGCTAGGCAAGGGCTCTACCACCGAGCTAAATCCTCAACCCCCTAGTCCTTTCTCTACTAGCTCAGAGCAACATCTAACACACAGAAATGCCCAATTCCGAGGATTGGATGGGAAAAGGAAGAGGAGTCGCGGGGAAAGCGACAAGGTACTAGTCCACGTTTTTCAGGGTTTGAAATCGCTTCACCAGCTCCTGGTGGACTTGGGCGAGGGAACCCTATTTCTGGCATCTTTGTACATAGGAGATCCAGGAAGGGAACTCACCAAACAGAGCTAGGTAGTGAGTGCCAGCCTGGGCACCTTAAAGAGGCCACCCCGCCTTCCACTGCAAATTAAAGATCCTGGAAGCACCGTTTCCTACAGCATTGTTTGATCTTAAACCATTCAGTGAACCTTGTTCCTTTTATAAACAAAACCCTTGGAAAAACAGCAGTGGAATTCTGTGTTACAAATACTAAGAAAGTGCTCTTGGTGAGACCTCAACACTGGGTGATATATATGAGGATTCAAACTAAGAGTGGTGCTTTCAATTTAAATCCACACAGGCATCAGGTCCCCTGAGAAGCCAATGAAACTGTACCAGGGCCCATGACCTGAACTTCCTTCTCAGGGAAGTTAACAGGGAACTTACATGAGGCCCTGGTGCTGAAGAGTTTTAATTTGTCGTGAAGAAAATTTACTGCTAAACCATGGCTGAGTTTTCAGAAGGTGGAACCCGACTATGTCAGTGAGAGCTTTTGTCATGTCCCAAAAAAGGGTCTCCAGCAAAAATCTTAAATACCCTCCAGTCTATTTAAAAGATCATTTAACTGAACAAATATATCAACTTCTCCAGTAGAATAGGAAAATGTTCATCAAGCAAAGCTTTCCAATTGGACTCTATTCATATATAGCTATCTATATATGTATATAATGATATACTTGTGTGTGTGTATAGATATATATCATTAAACATTTGTCTCTTTAAGAAACAGCTAACTTCTTGAAAACTTCACCATATAAATAGCTATTTAGATAGTTTCATAAATCCATTCTATTCAACTGCATTTCAAAATACCAAGTGATAGTTACACAAAATCCCAATGGAAATAACTGAAGAAATTAAAAATGCCCCTCAAATTAAAACTACACACATATTCATATACAAACACAATGCTTAATGCAAATCAGCTGGGTGATGAGATGACTGCAGGACACTCTATAAAATAATTAACCTTCT